TCTTATACACATCTAGATGTGTATAAGAGACAGGAGAGAGAGAGAGAGAGAGAGAGAGAGAGAGAGAGAGAGAGAGACACGATCAGTGTAGTATCTGCTTCGATCAGTTTCATATCTGATCCGTGGTCCATCGATACCTTTAAAAGAAATAGCATGTGTTGCGTGAGAGAGAGAGAGAGAGAGAGAGAGAGAGAGAGAGAGACCCCAATCCAACTAACTACATGGCCTGCCCCTTTCCCCCCCACACGATCACAGAATTGCGTATCTCCCGACATCTGAGAAATAATATTTGTGGTGAGCGGGAGCCAGGTATGCAAAGTGTGACACACACACAACAGGTGAGTTCAAATCCGAACAACCAAACCACCTACCCAGCAAACCACAACTGAAAGGAATGCAAACTGTGATCAGTTCTCTGACAGGACAAAACAGCCAAAAAAAAAAAAAGGAAAAAGAACTTATATTCAAGGCGTACAAAGCAGCAGCAGCATTCCATCGGCCGTGTCAACAACAGTGCACAGGTGAGCCTAAACAACCCCCCGGGCCCCACCCAAACCCACACACGGACCAACAACCCCCCACCCACCCTTTTCCTTTCGTTTTTTTGCGGGAGAAGCGGCAACAGGTAACCTTGTGAGATTGAATTTTGCTATCTTGATATTCACAACTGCTGCATGTTTGTTTTTGTGCTGGTTTTTGAAATCAGTGCGGATTTGATCCGCAAGTACTGAGTCAGCTTCAGGGTGTGCAAGTCTCTGAGTTCCATGCTGCAGTTTTACTACGGCTTTGATCTGCCCTGTCAATATCGAGCTCATGCGGCACCCTGCCTGAGATAAAAAAATGTTGCAGATGATGTAAAGATTGCAACGCCCGAAGTATTGTCGAAATTCGGAGGATCAGAGGAGGATGAAAGTGAAATTTGGAGGATCGGAGGAGGATGAAAGTGGACTTGCAAACAATGGAAAGCTATAGCAGTTCTTTTTTTTTTGTTTTTGTTTTGAAGAACGAAAATGTGGAAATGTAACTAATTATGCAACTAGAGCTGGCTTAGCTAGCAAATTGCCTCCCAAATGAGCTCCCAAATCCGCAGAAAATTTATAGGTAGGAGGTCTAGCAGCACTGCTGTCCCCTCGTGTGTCACCAGGCGAAAGACGCGCCTTGAGGGTATGGATGCACTTCAGATATCCGATGGGGGTCGACGCTGACAACCCAGTTCGTTCGACGTTATCCCCATTGTCTTTTGGAATGCAGGTCTGATCGTGTCAAATCATTCAAATGGCTGAAAGGTGGTAGTCGACAGTTGAGACCAACCAATCTTGATGCAGTACACAACCAGGCTATGGCTTGAGAACGTTTACTTGCTCTTGCTTGCGGATTTCGTATCTGATGGGGGATGGGTCAGGCGCATGTTCGTGCTTGGCGACGTCATTTCCTCTCCAAGATCTATCTACTCCTTTCTCGGATTGGATTGGTAAGAATGCCTAGGCTATCTTCCTTTCCATCCGCTCTTTGCTTATCTATCTGCTTGCTTTGGTCGGACAACTCAGAACCGTAGACGAGTCACTACTCTCATCCTTTCCATGTGCGGGGAGCAGTGCCCAAGCTCCTAACACGTGGCGTGGGCTGGAAAGAACGACTTCCACAACCAGCCAGGAGGCCCAACACAACAATCTCCGCCGGTGAACCCAAAGCATCCCCCAGGAGGCCGTGGGGATCAAAAGGAAGACGTTGGGTATTGAACCCATGACCTTCTGAGTGCCATTTACATGGTCAACCAACTGAGCTAGCCTGCTTGGGCTTCTACAGTTTGTTTTTCCTTTTTGTCTGAGTGTTTTTTTTTGACTGGTTGACGACTGTGGAAATGGAAACATCTTGTCGACTGCAATGGGTGCTAATGACTGATTGATGCTTGGGTCTTGCTTGAAAACTGAGAAACGAAGTACCGCTTGTTGTGGTCGTGGTGTGGCCAGATGATGATGTGGACCCAGTGCCGCCATTGCTGAAATCAACGATAAAGAGGCTTGTTCGATGGCATGTTATACCTCCTGACTGCGTCCCGGACTCGTGTATCATCAATATATATGATGAAGGAGATTGCATTCCACCACACATAGACCACCACGACTTTTTGCGGCCATTCTCGACACTTTCGCTGCTAAGCGAAACCAACATTGTCTTTGGCTCCAATCTTAAGATAATCGGTCCGGGGGAGTTTGCGGGGACATCATCGATTCGGCTTCCTGTAGGGTAAGTAACAACAGATGCGAAAGTTTTGTGCATTTGCTCCGTGCCAGTGTGAATCCTGACCTTGCTGTCTGTTTCCAGCCTTTGCCAGTCCGGCCCTCTCTTATCTCATACGCACCCCCACTGTTTTGCCTCAATTTTGGAGGGGTGTTTAATGGCAGGCATGGCTGAAAGCATGGCAAGAGGCTGTTGATGGAGCGAGGGCGGGCGGCAGGCAGGGGTGCAATTTGGGCACCTTGATGAAGACGTGTGCATAGAGAGACAAAGTTGACCTATGGACAGATATGATTTTGTGGCGCGCGCACACTCTCGTATGATCTGTGTGCGAGGCTAGAACTGATTGTGAAGAAGTTTGATTTTGAACAGCTGCAGCAAGACAGCCTTGCATTGCAGTGGCTTGGATGTTCACAGGTTGTCCTTTGGAAGTGCGCGGTTGGTGTTTTTCGGTGGTTCGACTCGCTGATATGGACTTTCCACGATTCCACAATTGTCAGCCTTAGCGTGCATGAAGGAACGACTATGATGTATGGATTTTACCTTCACAATCTGCCTTCCTGCGACTACATATGGAAGATTGAATTTTGAAGAATGTGATGGAGTCCTTCGGGGCATCCCGTAAGATTGGAACGGTACATAAAAGATTAGCATGGCCCGTGCGCAAGGATGACAAATGTAAATTGAGAAATGGTCCAAAAAAAAAGAAAAAAAAAAGGAGTGATTGAACACGATGATATTGGGGTGTGCTTTTGTGACCCAAACAAACAAAAAGCTATTGTTTTGCTGGAGTATATACACAGATACGTGATCCTGTTTTTTTGTCCATGATGATGTAATAGGTCGGTTCTCGTCATCAATGGGAATGGAGCTGATGTGGCCAAGCATTCGATTCCAGGTGTGCCTGAGCCCCGGATATCAATTACCTTCAGGAAAATGGACCCCGCAAAGGTACCATTCAATTGGACACCTGAACCTGACCTGCAGATTATCAGGCCCCTTCCACTGCCATCAACGGCGGAGAGACCCCTGCGAAGTACAGCTGCAGACAGCTCACGGGTAACTGTGTTTGAGCAGCAAACTCCTGTGCGATGGGGGGCGCCATCGTCAGTCAGTGTCCATTTACAGCATACAGATCAAGGAGCGGACAAGGTAGAGCAATCATCGCAAGCAGCACGTGACCACAAACACTTCAAGCGTCAGCAGCAAGTGGAGTACGTACCGCAGGTTTCGTATCAGCAGCAGCAGCAGCAGCCAGCAGAGCAGCCGCCGGGCTTGTCGCCACGGATACCGCCCAGAACTCTTGTGCATCCATCCCCGAGAAACCGCGAATTAAAAGGGGTGCATGTTGGAAACATGCAGAGTAGCAAGTCTGGTGCCGAGGGGAAGATTTCATCTGGACGCATCGAGGTTGGGTCGGGACCAATGCCGTCACCTGCTACTCCGAGTGTGGGCTCTTCAAGTACCCCTGGAAATGGAAAGGTGGGCAGCGTATCAGGTAAACTCTCAGCTTTTGCAGAGGAGTTCATTCCGAGCGGACTGTGTTTGAGTCAAGCTTTTGCGTTGAATCCGACAGCATCTCTAGCGGCGAACCTCAGTTCATTACCGGTCGTGGGTCTAACTCCGCCAGCAACAGTGAGCCTAACTGCACCACCACTCCTGAACTTAACTCCGCCAGCAGCGGTGAACCAGACGCTGATGCCAGCTGCAGCGTCGGGGAATCCAAGGCCTGTCAGTAGAGACAAGCCAATGATGGACAGGTGGACCAAAGAAAAGTTGGAAAGCTACGTGTCTAATGAGAGCTACGCAGTCGGGTATGAAGTTAACTTTGGCAGCGGTGCATTCTTTCCCAGCGGGTCACCCCCAGATAGTAGTCGGCTCCTGACGTCAGCAGGGAAGGATGGAACTCAACCTGCTGAGCGACCACGTATGAACTGGGGTGATATGGTGTTCGATGATGGCGAAGGCGAGGACGCGACAGTGGGTGTTACGGGCAGTGCAAAGAGGGGTGATGCGAAGCCAAGGCGAGCGTCAGGCAGAAGCCGAAGGTCTAACCGCGCCAAAGTCGTTGAGGAAGCCTCACAAAGTAGGAATGCAGAAGGGAAGGATGGAGGGAACACACACCCTAAAGAGACTCAGCAGCAGAGGGAGCGTGGCAGAGACAAAGGGCAAGGCGGTACCGTTGGCAAGGGAAGGAGCAGAGGTAGCAGGGACTGGGAGAAAGAGAGAAGCGGAGGTGGTGCGAACAGTAATAATTGGAGATCCAACCAGAACCGAAGCACTTGGTGACCTCATGCCCCCCTCCCCCCCCCTCTTCCCCCCTTCCCCTCTGCGTTCCTTCCCTCACCCTCCCCAGCCTCCACTTCTTATCCCCTACTCTTCCTCTCTCTCTCTCTCTCTCTGAGGGTGTATGTGTGTTTCAGTGTATGTGTTGGTAGGAATTGTTTCTCTTTCTTTTGAATCTTTTCCAGATTATTTCCTCCTGTTTGTTCCAGATTTGAGTGATGCTGCGTTTGAAAGTGCACGTTTAGCAACAATGGAGTGGACTTTGTGATTGAGCATTTTCTGTCGGGAAATTTGTTTAGCGGCCGTCGGATTCCAAAATGATCTTGCGGCAGTGTTCAGGTTCAGTAGTTCTGTGGGCACAGTGGAGGGTAGAGATGTGTCATGTGCGTGTAGTCTTTGTTTCCGTCTGTGGCACCGCGAGAGCGTGTGTTAGATTGGGGTGGGATTTTTGGGCATGAAGCCTCGATTTCCCTTGCCAGGCCGTTTACATCACCGTGTGTGTCCTGTTCACCACATCTATCTTTCTCTTGTTTTTTTTTTTGGCCACCAAATTTTCAATTTCCAAAAGCATCCAGTGCTCGAACTGGAAAATACAAGTCCTAAAGACAGATGAGTTCGAAATCCAAATGAAGTCCAGAAAAAATAAAATAAATAAATAAATATATATAATAATTAAAAAATACAAGTCCAATACAAGTCCTAAATCAACGGTTTGAGTATGGAAAACACTGAAGCTGACCTGTTGGTATGTACCGGCCGGCCTGATGGTCAGGTGCATGATCTGCACCTGAGAGGAGGCAACATGCAGGGGCATTCCAACTAGCCGAATAGGCCTTTGCATTCCTTGCCTTGAAGAGATGAACCCCACTCACCTTTCCCGACCCCCCCCCCCCCAAAAAAAAAGAAAAAAGAAAAAAAAGAAAAAAAAAGAAAA